GGGGGGGGGGGCGGGAAAAAAGGCACCTCGAACGCCTCAAACAGTTGGCACGCGATGCTCTAGAGCAGACAGTGGAACACTGCGGTGCAACAACGACGCCGGCACCAGTCGATTTTTCTCACTGGGGTGCCCCCATCAATCCTGTGAAACAGGGCACAGCGAAGACATGATAAACTCGCCCACGTAGGCGGCCACCGGCGCGTCCGTGGAGCGGATGGTGAGGCCGATCATCGCATTCCCCTTCAAGTTGAACGTCGCCTGCGCCAGCAAACGCTCGTGGCCGATAGTTTCGCAGTACAAGAGCAGGACAACGAGGTTCTTCTCCGTAATCTCGCGTCGGTGGACGAGGTTCAGGCAGTACACGCGGAGCACGTTTGTCGTCAGCCGCGTCGGGTCGCACTTCAACTCACGCAGCTGAGGCGGCATCGTCCAGACCGGGTAGGGCAGATTGTCCCACTGCTCCACAAAGAAGGCCGCCTCGCAGCCAGTCGCGGGCAGCAGCAGGAAGGGAGGGGGAATGGGCGGCGCCACAACGTAGCGGACGCCGATAAACTCAAACTCAATCGCCACCTGGATCTCCGGCGTCGGGGCCTTTTGGTTATTGCAGGCGACCACCACGCTCACCTCCGCCGGCTTGTCCTCGGCGTCGAGCACCGTTGTCGGGAAGACCTGCGCGACACCCATGCCAAACATGTTCCAGTTGATCTGCATCGTCAGGACGCGAGTGTGGCGGACATGGTCCTCGCCTGGCACGATGCGCAGCCGGGAGGACAGGATCAGCTTCGAGCCCATTTGCGACCACATCATCTCCACCTGCACGCCGTTGCCCTGGGCAGAGGCAAGAACGATCGTGTAGCTAGTCGCCTCCCCGCCGCCCGCAGCGTTGGGCGTTGGGTTTGGCGGGTTGTTTGCCGTAGTCGGGGAGTTACGGCCGCCGCTGCTGCTGACAGGGCCTTTCACCGTCGCAGCAGCAGCCACAGCATCGGCGGCCTCCTCAACATTTTCGTCATCGTCATCGTCGTCCACGCCGGTTAGGTTCTTCGTCGAGTTGCCGATCACGGCGTCGCCCAGCAGCAGCCGCAGCGGCTGAGCCGCGACGGAGGCCAGCGAGCCGAGGTCGTGCAGATTGCCGCCTCCACCACCACCACCACCACCGTTTCCTGTGCTGCTGTGCAGTGCAGCGTGAAAGCCGAGCTCATCCCAGAGCGACGCGTTCAGCTTTGCGCCCTCCGTCGCGGCCATCACGCGCTTCGCGACGTCGATGTCGAGGGCGATGACGCGCCAATAAAAGAGGGCGCGATCGCGCAGGTCGGGGAAGTAAGAGTTGGTGCAGTCCCCCAGCACCTTCTCCAGCATCGCCAAGGCTTCGGTGGTGGCCGCGGTGCGCTGCGGCGCGTTAGCCTTCGCGCCGTGCAGGTACAGCTTTGCCAACGCCGTCATGGTTGCGTACTGCACGAGGCGCGGCTGCTCCATGAACTGGTTCACCAGCACGGACAGGTACTCCGTCACGGCGTCTGAGACGCTGTTGGGGTACTCGCCCAGCACCCAGGCCACCGCCGCGCGTGCCTCCGTCGCCTCGAGAATCGTCAAGGAATCGCACAGGGGGCGAAGGATTTCCGTAAACTTACCGGGGTAGCAGCGGAGCACCATCTGCACCACCACCACCGTGTTCTCTACCAGGCGCGGCACACGTGTGGCGATGAGGGTGCCGAGCTGCCGCACGCACTCCGTGGAGAGGCCCGGCAGCATGGTGGCCAGCGCACCGATCGCGTTGACGGCCGTGCGCACGAGCTCGGCGTCGGCTTCGCGGGCGTACACCATCAGCTCGCCCAGCACCCGGCTACCGTTCTCGTTGTTCGCCAGCCGCACCAGCAGGTTCAGCTTCTCCATTTTAATGTATATTGGATCTTCGAACTTGACGAGAAATTTGCTGAGGTGAGCGGAGAAGAACGGGGCGAATACCGGCGTGAGGAACTGGCGGACGTTGCGCAGCATCACGTAGCGCATCTCAAACCGCGGCGCCTCCAGCAGCACAACGAGCGACTGGATAAGCGGCGCGGCGTACCGGTCCATCAGCCGCCTCTGCGTCCCCTCCGGCACGTGCAGGCGGGGCTCGTGGATGGAATGGAGGAAGAGCGCCACCGCGCGCACGACGCTGAGGACGACGACGGGGCTGGCGTACTGCAGCAGCGGCATCACCAGCGCGAGCGTCTCCTCGCCCGCCGTCAGGTACGCGTCACGGTGGTGGTCGAACTCGCTCGCCTCATCGTTCGCAGCGCCGGTTAACTGTCGCTGCAGCGCCGCCGTCGTCGACTCCGCGGCTCCACGACTCGTCTGCGATGAAACCGTTGATGTCTGTCGGCGGCTGAGGGCGTTGCCGTCTCCGCTCGTGGGATGCAGCTCGTACACCGCTTCGTGGCACTCCCACATCATGTGCAGGGCGATGCCCTCCAGCAGATACACCTTCGTCCACTCACTGCCCTCCGGTAACAGAGCGATCAAGTGGCTGCGCGCGTTCAGGATGGCGCCAATGTAGGAGACGGGGGCGTTGCGGTACTGCAACTCCAGCATCGCCCGCACCGCCACCGCCACCACGGCCGCGTTCGAGTCCTGCAGCAGGGTGGTGAACTTGTCTAGGATGTCCGACTCGGCCGACACGTTGGAGGCTGCGACGTACTGCTTCAGCACCCCCATCGCGGCAATACGGCGCACATAGGCGGACGAGTCCTCCAGACACCGGTGCAACGGCCCGGAGTGGAAGTCAGCCATCATGGGCAGCTGGATGTTCGTCATGGCACGCAGCCCCGCGCCGCGCACCAACGGGGAGTCGTGCAGGGTGTCTTTCACCAGCGTCCCGGCCTGCAGCACCGTCCGCTCTGGCTGGATTCGACTGTTCTCAATGAGGTAGAAGTACGCGAGCCGCTTCATCGTCGGGCTCGTGCTCGAGGTGAGCGCGGAGACCTCGTTGAAGAGGCTCGACATGTCCTTGCCCATCATCATGTAGGCGGTGACTTGGTACAGCGCAGACAGCTGGCGCGGCTCGTTTTGGCTGGACAGGTCTTCCCTCACCATGGCGGCATCGAAGCCGCGGTTGAAGTACGCCGCACCGGAAACGTAAACAGGCATTTACGTTGGTGTGTGTATATGTATATATATATATATATGTATATAGTGTACTTCCCTTCCTTCCTCGTGCAGTGTGCAAAAGACAGTAAGAAAGGCTTTGAGCGATGAAAAGGGGCACGATAACAACGAAAAGAGAGAGAGAGGTGCGCAGCACAGAGGGAGACCCCGTCGTGTCCACCCCCTTTCTTTAATTCGAATATATATATTTCAGTTTGTGAGTCTACGCAGCGGAAAAAAAGAGAAGAAGAGAAGAAGAGAAAATATATATATATCCTTTGCTGAAGCAGCTTTGCGATACGTCAACTGCAACAAAGCGGTAGATGACCTCTCTTCTTCTTTATTTTTTCAACGGGAGAGAGGAAACGTTCGTTGTGCTAGCCTTGTTACGCGACAGCGAAAGATTCGATTCGTGCTCGGCTGCGCCACTGAGGAAAACAAAATCATTGTTGTGTGCAGACATGCGTGCGCACGCAAAAACCCCAAGATGTCAACATAAAAAAAAAAGGAAGGAGCATAGGAGGGAAAGATGAGTTGTTGGCCTATTGGTGGTTTGACTTCAGAGAAGGCAGTAGACAACGCGCCAAGGGGGAAAAAGGCACCGTCTTCGCCCGGAAATCATCAAGACGCTACGTCGTGTGATTATTATATCATTTTGTTTTCCCAACAAAGAGTTGATACTCTGCTCGACGCGATATAAAGAAGACTGGTTCGGCCAGCGCACATTGCGGTGTACCCAACGGCAAGCGCCCACGCGTGATGAAGAGGCTTTGCAAAGAGCAAAGATGAAACGGAGACGCACAAAGATCGTTTCCGTTATATATATATACACAGATATAGGGGTGATGCCTTTTTCTTTCTTGTGGCTGCTTAAACGAGAGAGGAGATTCTCGAGCACACACAGGAAATATATATAGCAGCTTACGAAGAGGTGTACAAGTGGAGTCAAGAAACGGAACTGGTGTGCTATCCCTCGCGTGCGGCCTCTTATCGACGGCGCAAAGAAGAAGAAAAGAGGGACTTTGTGTCCAACACCTCTTCTGTTTTTCTCTTTTTTTATTATTAACTGCTCACTACACCGTAAACTTCAAACACCGCGTGGCGTCGTGCACGACGTGGCACTCGATGGAGCAGAACAGCGCCACCCGACACCGCACACAGCGGTACGACGCGGGCAGCATGCACACCGAGCATAAATGGTGCTGATACGCCCCCTGCACCCCGTCCCCGTTGGTCGGCGCTGTGCTCGCCGTGGTGGCAGCAGTGTTGCCGACGTTTTTGAAGTCAAGGAAGGCTGCTGGGCGGTGCAGGCGGACACTGCGTCTCTCCAACGCGTGGCGTCGCCGGTGGGTGACGGGGATCGCAACGGACACCCCTGCAACGTCCACTGTTTGAATGGGCGACGGAGGTTGATCCACCGAAGAATGCGCAGAGGACGCGCGTTTGGCGGAACGTGACGATGACGGCGGCACGTGCGACAGGGGAAGCGATGCGAATGCGTTCGTGCATTCCTCTGCGCCGTCGGTGTCGTCGCTGCATCGGACACACTCCACGTGTCGCCGGCTCACTGGTGCCGCCGTGAGGGCCTCGTAGCTGGGGCACAGACTGTACACCTGCAGCAGAGGGTACGGCACAACCGCCTCCGCCCAGACGCCATGCTTGCCCTCCCTCATCCAGTCGTCGAGAAGGCTAGGATTAGTTGTATTCGCTGCGTTACTACTCACTTTGTTGGACTTCGTGTCGGCGTCGGCGGAACCGGTGGGGGACGTTGCGGTCCACGGCGCGTATGGCTGAGGGGACAGGACACCGTTGATAATCTGAGGTGGGTTGTCCAGCACCGTGCGGCGCCACTGCTCGATCAAGCAGAGCTGTGCGTGCAGCTTTGCGACGAGCGCGGGCGATGCTGCTCCGCCACCATCCTCCTCTGCGGCACTATCAGCGTGAAGCGACGAACGGAGAGCGCGGTCCCCTGTCGGCGCCACCGCAGCCTCGTTGTGTGTGTCAACTCCTTCGTGTTTGACCGCAGTAAGGCCCACGTCTCCTCGCAGACGCTTGCGGGTGCGTGTCGCCGCAGCAGCGCCCTCCGCCCCTTCCGTCTTCACAGACAGCACGGAAACCGCCGCGACGGGCTCTGCCACCGACACCGGAGAGGCCACCGACGAGGAGGTCGACTCCGGCAAGCTCTTTCCCACGCCGCGCCGCTGCTGTTGCGACCCTTTGTGTTTGGACAGACTCGCCTTGGGCCGCCGGCGCTTTCCCTCGTTGGCACCACCACCCACGGCTTCCCCGCCGCCTTCATCGCCAACGTCGGAGTCCGAACTGCTGCTCAATTCCGATATCTCCTCCGCTGCGGCACGGACAGAGGCCAGGTACGCCTTGTGCTGCTCCAGCAGACTCCCCGTAAGCGGCACCCGTGCACCGTTCAGGAGGGCGTCTTTCGAGGCTCCCCCACCGCGGCTGGCGAACGCGCGCTTTGCGGGCCAGACACCCCCACTTTTTGATTCATTTGGCTTTCCAGCTGCATCGTAGGGCGATGACGGTGTCTTGATGTTTCGCTGCGGGGTGGAGGTCTCCAACAAGGCGTCCTCGCCCATGCGCTTCAACGCGGCCTCAACGTCCACAAAAGCGTTGTCATCGCTAAGCTGCGCCAGGCGATCTTGCTGAGCCGACTTCTTGGCGTACAGCCGGTTCATTGCACCGCTATTCCACGTGGGCAAACTTCGTATATATATTTGCTGTCTGTCTTGCCCTTGTTTTTACTTCAAGTTGTACCTTACCCGGCTATTTGTTGTTGCTGCTGTTGGCGCAGCAAGTCGAACGAGAAATAAGGCAAATTTGCCTTTTTGAAAAAAAAAAACCCCGCTTCGGCTTACATTCATTTACCGTTGTTATTCGAAACGGAAAAGGCAGCAACGAGAAGAGAGAGAGAGGGGCGGGAGTTGACACGAAGAGCGGAATGCATTGATACAGCGCTGGCATTGGCGCCTGCACGTCCGGCATTCACGTACGCGCACCGTGCACGCGGGAGGTTCTACGGCGCATGAAACGAAAGAAAGAGAAGAACACATTCAACGCCCTCGGAGGGCAGCACAGAAAAAAGGGGGGCACGTCTGCGTGTGGAGACCCACCGAGACTACACCTTCTTTCTTCCATGACCCCCTCATTTCGCTTCGCCAACCTCGAAGGGAGTCAAACGGCAGTGGCGTGTTCTTCCGTACCTCGTCGACACTAGCACTGACCGTCCGGCTTGACGCACCGTTGCAGACGACGCTGCGGTTTGTGCTGAGTGTGTGTTTGCTTAAACTGAAAAGAAAACAGAAATGACAGGAAAAAAAAGGACTGAGAGATGTCACCACAGGAAACAGGAAGATGTTGCGGAGGACCTAGGAGGGGAGAGACAGCGTAAACGCGCAGCACCCCTAAATCGCAAGCGGCATTTTTCCTTTTTAACAGAGAGAAGAACAGAACGATGTTTCTCCCCCACCGCTCTTCCACCTCCGCTCGCTCCTAAATTCGCTGCTTTCCGTGAAAGAAAGAAGTCCGCGACCGCTGCAGCACCCGGGGAGACGCAATCCTGCCCCCCCCCCCCCGAGAAAAAGCAGCAGCACAGCACTACGGCGCGGTGCTTACCGGTTCGCCTTCGCGACACGCTCCACCTCATCCTTCTTCTTGATGGCGTACGAGTTCGAGCTACCCTTGGACGCGTTCACGATCTCATCAGCCAGGCACTCCGGCAGCGTCTTGAGGTTGCGGAAGGCAGCCTCGCGCGCACCCTTGCACATCTGGTAGATGGCCTCGTTCACGCGGCGCATGGGCGACACATCGACGGCCTGGCGGCGCACGACACCACCGGAGCCGACGCGGGTCGAGTCCTCACGCGGCGCACCCTTCGACACGGCGTCCACCACCACGCGCAGGGGGTTCTCGTCCGTCAGCAGGGCGATGATCTCCAGCGTGTGCTTCAGCAGGCGGGCAGCCTGCAGCTTGCGGCCGTTGCCGCGACCCTTGAACATCAGGCCGTTGGCCAGGCGCTCAACGATCGGCATGCGGGCCTTGTGGAAGCGGCGCTTCTGCCAGCGGCCAGACGTGTGCGGCACGTACGAGGCCGTCGTGGAGATGTGGTCGCGCAGGGCCACCTCCGACGTCTCGAGGCCCTCGTAAGACCACTTGTTGAAGAGCTTGGGAGCCTTGGCGCTCATGATATCCCTTGTCGAATCCTCTTCGGTAAAAGGGTGAAGAGTTGGTGTTTTGATCACGTGGTGCGTGTGAGCGCGATGGAGTCACGAGGGTGAAATGGGCATTCGAATACCCATACAAAACATGTGTGGGTACGTGACAAAGAAAACGCACATTTAATAATGAGAAGATACCACAGTCGAGAGCGGGAGAGAAGAGAAGCAGTAGAAAGAAAAATTGAAGCGTGAAGGTATGTGTGTGTGTGTTGATTCATGGGAGGCAGTGGTGAAGTAGTGCGCATTGTGACTCTCATGATGTCGGCTCTTCTCGCTTTTCACTGTTGCTGCTCGTGCGCCGCAACACAACGCTGTAAACTCGAAGTCTTCGATGGTCACGATAGAAAGAGCGTCCTTTTCACCTTCGCGCACCGTTGACCGCAATCGCGCGTGCGCAGTGGCTGCGCGATCCACTCAGCAACAGCATCACCGAGTACATCCCAATAACAACGACATGCACAGGTCACACATGGAATGTGCACTGTTTCGGCCCATCGAGGTGAAACCCCATTATACTTTTACTATTATTAGTATTTTGGATAAAAATGATAGAGAGAGAGAAAAAAGAAATAAAACGAAGCCATTAAGAAAGTGGTTGATCTTCCCCTTCAAGCCCCCGTCATGGAGCCCTTCATCCTTTGACTAGCAGAGCAATGTCACCTCACTCGAAGGAGTGCAGCACGGCTTTCATTTTCATTGAGTGCAGTTAACTGCACCTGCTCGTCAAGTAATAAAGGAAAAGAACCGAAGCAAAAAGGGTAAGATCACGAGAATCCTTCAGCTGTGAGCACGTGAGGTGCAGCTCCAACGGCAAACCACGATGCGGTGCTTACCGGTTCGCCTTCGCGACACGCTCCACCTCATCCTTCTTCTTGATGGCGTACGAGTTCGAGCTACCCTTGGACGCGTTCACGATCTCATCAGCCAGGCACTCCGGCAGCGTCTTGAGGTTGCGGAAGGCAGCCTCGCGCGCACCCTTGCACATCTGGTAGATGGCCTCGTTCACGCGGCGCATGGGCGACACATCGACGGCCTGGCGGCGCACGACACCACCGGAGCCGACGCGGGTCGAGTCCTCACGCGGCGCACCCTTCGACACGGCGTCCACCACCACGCGCAGGGGGTTCTCGTCCGTCAGCAGGGCGATGATCTCCAGCGTGTGCTTCAGCAGGCGGGCAGCCTGCAGCTTGCGGCCGTTGCCGCGACCCTTGAACATCAGGCCGTTGGCCAGGCGCTCAACGATCGGCATGCGGGCCTTGTGGAAGCGGCGCTTCTGCCAGCGGCCAGACGTGTGCGGCACGTACGAGGCCGTCGTGGAGATGTGGTCGCGCAGGGCCACCTCCGACGTCTCGAGGCCCTCGTACGACCACTTGTTGAAGAGCTTGGGAGCCTTGGCGCTCATGATGGATTCTTTTTGGAGCAGTGCAGGCGCGTGCATGGAGGAGGAGGAGGAGGAGTAGAGAACGGCAATGATTGCCGCGTTCAATTTATTCGCGCACGCGAATAAGAATAATTGTTTCGAGTAAAAGAAAAAAAAGAAGCGAGAGAGAAGCGAGAGAGAAGCGAGAGAGAAGCGAGATGATTGGAAGCAGAAAGTTAGAAAGGAAGATGAAGACAAGAGAACTCATTCGACGGCAAGCACGGAGAGAGAAACACCACACACCAACACGTACTCCATCCTCAACGCCGCTACACATCGTAAGCGCTTCACTGTGACACTTGAAAAAGAAAAAACGGCATTCCTTGCCGGAGAGAAGCAGCATCAAAACGTCTTGATCTTTGCAAATAATATTTTTTTAATTATTCTTTAAAAGATGTTTCTTCTTGAAGAAATGAAGTCCTTTATTCTCGATGGGGGAGGGGGGGACCTCGAGGGAGGACTCTTAAAGTGGCTCTTCATGTGTTCTTTCCGAAGTACCTTGTTTTCGTACACTAGACCGATCTTTTTTTAATTTGCCTTTTGGTGCTTATTGCATGTAGCGGTGCTCCATAGACGAGCCCGCACGACACTCAACGTCGCCCTGTCCTTCCAGAAACCCTTCTTTTCCGGTGTTGTCGACGCACCAGCGCACACCGCGAACTTAATAGCCATCGTTGCCGTCATCCCCACCGCCGCCGCCGAAGCTGTCGTTGTCATCGCCGCCGTCGCTGCTGAAGTTCGCGTCATCGTCGTCGTCGTCCGCCATACCAGTGGACAGGTCATCCTCCTCATCACTGTCCTCTTCCCCCTCCTCGTCCAGCTGCCCCACAGCAATCACACCAGCGCCGTTTCCACCAGCAGTCCCTGCACTTCCCAGCGGACCCCACCGCCCGGACGCAATTAGCGGGATGTCGCCCTCATCCACGCCGCCCTCCTCCTCGTCGCCTCCGCCACCGCGGCCGTGCTTCCCGCCAGCCCGGCGACCGCCGCGGCCCATCGTGCTCTTCTCTTCCTCGTCATCGTCATCGTCAAAGGCAGAGCCGCTCAACAGCGTCGAGGCGGCAGCCGCCCGGCCACCACCACGCGAGTGGTCGTCGCCAGTCAGGCCGCCATCAACCGCGCCAAACACCCCGCCGCGTTGGTGCGCCGCCGCTGCTGCGGCCCGCTTCACACGGAGCACACGCGGCCCCGCAGCCGTCACATCGATCAGCCCGCCCGTCGCCTCTACACCGTCGAGACCGTACACCTCCGCCCCCACGCCCCCACCACCGCTGGTCGCCAAGAGGACGTGGGCGGGCAGGAAGACCTTCGCGCCGCGGCGTATTGGCCGTGGCGGGGCGGGGCGGCGCTGATGGCGCAATCGCAGCAGCTTCTCCTGCTTGCGAGTGAGACGCCCGCCGGGTGGGACGCGGGCGGCGAGCAGCACCATGGAGCTCAACTCCGCAGGTACACCCAACGCGGCGAGGGTGCGCTGGAGGGCGTGTTGTGCGGCGCGGGTGGTCGCGGTGGATGTCTTTGCCACCTTCGCTGCGTGCTTGACAGCGTGCTCGGGGGGCCGCAATGCGTCGGAAGCGTCGGTGCCCCGGCCATTCAACGGCGTGCCGCCCTCCTCTTCTTCTCGTTCTGGTTCCGCCTTCACAGTGCCTGCGATGACGCTGGTGGCTTCCGCCGTGGCAGACGCCATCGCCACCGCGCCGTCCATGCCGCCCCACAACTCACGGTAGTGAAACGGATTCAGCAGCTCCGCATGCCGGCACACCTCCACCATCGACTGCACGTCTGCGCCGTCTTCATCCGGTACAAAGCAGTCGAAGAAGTACCGCAGCCGCGGCGGTGGGCGGCGCTCCACTTCCACTGAGTGAACACCAATCCCCGCCGCGCTGTTTGACGCTGAGGCGGTGGTGGAACGGCCGAGGTAGCCGAGAGAGGATGAGGAGGAGGGGGCTGACACGGCAGATGCATTGCCCGTGGCCACGTTGCTGGTGCTGCTCTTCAAAAACGGCCCGCACGCCGCATCAGCGTCGATGGTGGGCAGAACGATGGCGGTGGTGGTCACCTCGGCACCGCCACTTCCGAGGTGACTCGCGCCGCGCGTTGCCACGGCCGGGGCAGCCGCTTGTTGGATGTGGTATCGGTAGGCCCGAGGTGGGTAGAGCGCGTCCTCGTAGGAGTGGATTTGCAGACCAGGTTGGGGCCGCTCGTAGCGGTACCGTCCAAAACCTCCGCGCATCAGGTAGGGAAGCAGTTCTCGCTCGAAAGCATGTATTGCGCTGTCAACAGAAAGAGAATGACCCGATACCACAAGATGGGGCGTCAGGCGTAGTACTACACAAGGTTAATACAGCGCGGTATTCGGCCAGCACCCAAGCGCGTCGCTACAGCCCGCATGTGCCCCGTGAATGTTGGTTTCAACGCACGGTGCGCCGAATGTATACAAACGACGAAGAAAGAAAAAGATTGCGTTGAGGGTAAGCGAAGTAAACAGAGAAGTTTGTGTGCGGCGCTGTCGTCAGAATATGTGTTGATGACCACTTTCGTGTAGAGGCGACAACAACAGAAAAAGCCGTCCTGATCCGGTGCATAACAGCAAACGGCTTAATTCTCAAGTGAGCGGCCGCATACCAAACATACAGACATACTCATAAAAGACATCACTCTGATCTTTCCAGACGACAACGAAGGGGCGCCTTGGCAGAGAGATATATCGGTTCGTTTCATTATCTCTCCTTTCCTCAGTGCCCAAGAGAATAAAAGATGTGTGTGTGTGTGTGTGCGTGTGTGTGCTCAGTTTTGCCTGTTTCTCTAGGAAATCAACTTCGTTCGCGTGAGACGGCATTTACAAGAAAAAGGAAACGGCCTCTACTCATTGATTTTGCTCTTCGAGCAAAGCGTCGATTGCGAAGGGGAGAAAAAAAAACTTGGGTAAATGTTTATAAATAAGTCATGGAGGGGAGGCAGAACCACTGCCAAAGAAGACACTGAAAACAGCAGCTGGAGTACACAGCAAAAGACTGAAACGTGAAGAAACGACTACACAAGAACCAAATAAAAATATATAATTAGGTGGGCAAATACATCAGGGAGAAAATGTAAAAAAGAAAAACATGTGTTATTACGATGAACAGCTCGAGAAGAAAGAGACGTGCATGAATCATAACTCCTCAATGGGGGCGTATAAAAGAAGAAGAAAAAATGTTATTCGCCTTTCGCTCTTCTGTATTTTCCAAAGGCTTAAAAGTCCGTTGATACGGGTGAAAAGGAGAAAAAGAACACCTCGGTTCTGCGTAGACGGGGTTTGAGAACACGGTGTCGGGGGTGGCGCAGTCTCCACCTCGCAGTCACGGTGAACAACACGCTGGCACCATACACGAATCGAGTCGCAGTAAGCAAAGAAATCGCGGAAAAGACGTAGTTAAACCGAAGTGACAGTGAAGCCAAAATGAAAAAAAAAAAAGAAAGAGAGAGGCACGTGAGGGAAAAGCAACGCAACAAAAGAACCTGCCTTCCGTCGACTTGAAACGCTTCAATAATACATCCGTGATACGAATAAATATATATAAATAGAGAGAGAGGTCATGCAGTACAGATACAGAAGCACTAAAAGAAAAAAGGACTCTAAATATACATCACACTCTAAATTAAACAGTAGTAATAACAATAAAAGGTGAGCGGGAAGAGAAAAATAAAAATAAAAAGGAGAGTTCATCGAGGGGGGAAAAGTTTCACTCCACCTCCAAAATGTTGGAGCTGGTCAAGGCGTCCGTTTCGTCGTCGGGGAAGCGGCTCTTGTGTGGCGTGGCGGCGGTAAAGACGCCACCCATGTGCGGCACACCCGCCGAGGCAATGGAGGAGGCGCGGCTGCGTGTCTTATACGGCGTCCCCACATGCTGCCCCTCCACCTCCAAGTCGAGCGCGGCGTCAGCCACGAAGCTTGACTCACTCTGCAGACGACCGCGCGAGGGCGGGATCTCGCCCCGATCCGCCTGGTCGAGCCGGCCGTTGCCGGCCCCGACAGAGTTGCGACTGCGTGAGGAAGTAACAGAGCGTCGCGACGTGGCTCGGCTCGCGCCTTGGCCACTCTTCCGCACCTGGGGCGCCACCCCATTCCCAGCGACGCTGATGCGCACCGTCGACGGTTCACGGTTGGACGGCGGAGGGCCAGCGACTCTGGGGGAGCGGCCGGGTTTGGTGACCGGCGAGCGGAGCATGGCGGAGGCGAGACGCTCCTGCCGCATGCGGTCCGCACGCCGGCGCTCGCGCATCCGTGCCACGACTGCCTCGATGTGGGGGTCGCCCACGAGGCGTATCTTTCCACTTTCCTCGGACACGTCCAGTATCTGACCTGGAATTAGGTTGGACTGCACCCGTCTGCCCTTGATAGACGTGCGCGGCATACTCCACTTCCTGTTGCCCTTCTTCTCCGTGCCGTGGCTCTCTTGACTCTCTTGGCGCTGCCGTGCGGCGTTCGCGGCGGCGGCCTCTATTTCCAGAATTTCGGCTTGAAGGCGCGCCTCCTCCTCTGCCTGTGCCGCCTGCCACGCTGCACTCTTGCGCCGTGCCGCTTGCTCTGCCTCGGTGGCGGCCTCCTGCTCCAGGCGCTCGCGCTCCGCCTCCGCCTTCGCCTCTTCCGCCGCCGCGGCTTCTTCCGCTTCCTCCGCCGCGGCCTGCCACAACTGTGCCGCTACATCCCAGAAATCCTCCGCTTCCTCCGCCGCCATCGCAGCGATGTTGGCTCGGGCGTCCAGCTCTGCCTCGAGCAGATCCGTACATTCGTTGTCGAACCGCGCTTCTTGGGCGGCGATGGCGCGTCGACGGCTCTCGTCTTGTGAGGTGGCGGCGTAGGCGACGAGCTGGTCGTAGGTGAACTTCTCCTCTCTCGCAATGATGGTACGCGTGTTTGCCTCCTGCGCCACTAACGCGGCAACTTCCTGCATCTGTTGTTGCGCCTGCAGCGCACGCGCCGCGGCCTCCTCCTCGACGGCCTTTCTTTGCCGCTGCTCCGCCTCCTCCTTTGATTTCCTCCTCTCCTCCTCCTCTGCTGCTGCTGCTGCTTCCTTTGCTGCTGCTGCCTTTGCTGCTGCTGCTACTTCCAATTCGCGAAGACGCGCTTCGTGCTTCGTGCGGCGATCGCGGAGCTCCTTGAGAAGACGCTCCAGAGTTGCCATGTCCACCTCTAGATCGGATACGTTCGCGTCGTGCCCACCCTTCGACAAGCGTGGGAGCTTCTGCTCGCCATCGACGTAGACAAGCGTGCTGGAGTCGGCAACAATATTGCCGGGAAACTTGGGCGACGTAGCCGACTCGTCCAAGTCCGACCGCATCGCGTCGTTCTCAGCAAATTCGCTCACTTGGGCAGAAGCAAACTTCAGCGACGACGTGAGGCTGTCCAGCGGCATCTTCGCTTCTTGGAAGTAACGCAGTTCCTCTTGTACTTCACGCAGCAATTGATGCAGCCGCAGCAGCTCCGCCCGTCGTCGCTGCGCCGCTGCCGCCTTTTCCTGCGCCAGTCGCTGCTCCTCCGCCTCTTTCTCAGCCGTGCTTGCGGCGTGCGCAGCCTCCGTCTCCTGCGGTGGGAGTGGGGGGCCTGGAAGGCCACCGTACCGAGTCCCTTCGCCGCCAAGACGGTCGCAAATGACGCGCAGCACGTACGCTGCAATGGAGTCCAAATCGTATGGTGCACCAGAGGGCAAGGCGGGCAAGACAGAGTCGTGCTCACGTGGAGGGAGAGTCTGTGGCGCATTGGAAGGACTGCACACGGGTAGGGAGGACGTTATGGAAGGGCGCCGTAGGTCGTTGAAGTGCGTCAGCAGCAGCGGCTCCGCGGGGATCTCTTCATAAGCGCGCCGCAGCGGGTTGGCGGCGGAGGCCACCTCTTCCGCCGTCCATGGCTGCCTCGTCTCACGACTGATGCAGCCATCCGTACCGCCCGCTGCAGTTTTCTCCTCCTTTTCGTTCGCCTGCTCCGCCGCCGTCACCTCCGATAACGGCGGCTGCGGCATGTGAGCAACAGGGGAAGGGCAGGCAGGCTCGTATCGCGTGCTGGGAATCATCTCCTCGGTGAAGGGAGGCAGCAGGCCGGTGGGGAGCGGCGGACGTACCGCGTGCACCACCGGCGGACGAGGCGGGGACGAGGAACGGCTGTCATGTGGAAGCAGCGGGGACAAGGAGCCGCTTTGGTGGGGCCGGTCCACCCCACTCTCTGGACGGTGTGTGGGGATGGAGGTGGAGGCAGATTGGGAGATGGACGCGGATGACGACAATCGTGGGGATGGACGCGCGTTCTTGGTGCGCTTGCTCTTATCGCTTGCGTGGTGTCCGCTATTGCGTTTGGGATGGTGACTGCGCCTAACGGCTTTATCGCTGTTGGAAGCGGAGGCGGAGCTGGAAAAGGAGGAGCGGCGGCCTCGACCACCTCGGCGATGACGCTGCCCTCGCGACCTCTCGTGCTCCGTTGACGACGACGACGTGCTGGACCCGTCTGATGTGGAAGACAGAGTTGACGACGACAGCGCGGAGTCGCTGCGCACCATGGACCACAAAAAGTCCTCCGCCACCTCCGACCACTCCGAATCCGTGTCGCTTTCTCGATCACGGCCATGCCGCGCTGCACGCCGGCGGTCATTGTATACATCCTTCCCGCTCGAGCCGCTTGAAAGGGAGGGGGAGTGCCTTCGACCACGCTGCTTCCTGCCTACGCGCCTCTTGCGCGGTCTGTTTCTGGGACGTCCAGACCCGTCGGTTACGACGCAGTCAGACTCTCTTCCGCTGCGGTTGCCGCTTTTGGAGGGTACGAAATCGTCGTCTCGGTGAGATCGTGAGTAAGGGGACAACGCATCGGCCGAGTCCATTGAGTCGGGGTGCCGCCGTTTGTGTTCGTCGTTTCGAGAATTCACCTCACCTCCCCTTCTACCAGCATTGTCGCTACTGTGTTTACGAACGTGCTGGAACGATGGAGAGCGGTTTCTCCAATACCGGTCTCTTGAGATCGGTGGAAGACGCTCATTATCGTCAGCGTCGTCGAAACGACTCGGAGAGCGGCGGGAGAACTGCTTTTCACGAGTTGGCGAAATCCGTCGGGTATCCTTGCGACCTTCATCACGTCTTCTAGATTGTCGGCGCCCATCGCGCGTTTTCGTGGGCTTTTGTGGCACAATTTTAGGCTTGTCATTCGGGTCATTGGACACGCGTTTGTCATACTCTTTGGCTTTGCCCTTCTCGCTGTGCGGGGCATTGCGCGAATGCCCGGATGAGCGGTGCGATGTACGTTGACCCTGCTGTTCACCGTCTCTTGCTGCTTCACTGCGTCGTACCGCCTCCGGCAGAAAAGACTGCTGATTCGCCTTCTTGGCTGAGGGCTTCGGTGCAGTGCGACCTACCTCAATCACGCGATAGCAACGGCCAGATAACGAGAAAAAGTTGCGATAAGATCCTGAAGGAACTTTGTCAGTACGCTCTTCCTCGCCTCCTAGGTTGCTGCGCCGCGAGGCAGACCGACTCCGTTTCGTTCGATCCGTAGGACTGTCCGCAGCATGCGCTTCTTCGGAGGGCAGCACCTTCGTGGAGGCAGACGGTTTAACAGCCTCTCTCACGGCTGAGTGCACGGAGGCCATCGGCGAATCGATCCCGTATATTACACGGTCCTCCGGCAAAGGCTCCTTCCCTCGGTAAATATCACCGTTAAGAAACACGTATTTCGATTCGCGACGCGGCTCATCGTCGAAGAAAACCTCTGTCTCGTCAGCTTTGATCGGTTGAGATGATGTCGGTAACGATTCAAGAGGACATAGACAAATCGCTCCTGCTTTCTGCAAGGGTTTCATGCGTTGAGTAGAAAAGTTCTCATTGTTTATGATGCGCTTGGTAAGCCCGCTGTTCCGCAGCAAAGGAAGATTGCGGTGCGCATAAATTCGTTCATCGCTGTCTTGATGACTATTGGCTGTTGCCACGTTGCGCGTGTAGTTCCTATACATGTGAAACGGTGCGCGACGACTTTCAAGACTCTCCTGTGCCTTTTGCAACATATAGGCATTTCCGGCTGATTGCATTTTAGCTCGCTGTTCCTTGAAGCAAATTGGACAATCCACGCCTACTGCCCGAATTTCTGAATGAGTGCAACGAGGGCAGCGCTGATACTCCGCCATCTTCATACGTCTAATAAAAATATATATGTTAATGGATTTGGGCCGCTCAGTGTGCACTAAAAAGAAGACAAATGAGAATTGAACATAAAACTAATCGAATAACAATCAAGAAAACGCAGAAGAAAAAGGAAAGAAGAGTCTATTTGCTTCAGCAAGTATTCGTCTACCGTTCGTTTGTTCAAAAGTCAATTATCGGCCTACACGAAGAGACGCCGTGAAAAAAAAAAGCACAATGCACCTGCGATTTCCAATGTATTATCTTGCTCGCTTGTACGGATCTCCAAATAACCAGCAAAACATGCAACAGCCACAGAAGAAAAAAAGGCGAAAAAGAGAGAGAAAGAGTTTCTGTTGCGCGTTAGAACCCCGTAAACGCCACTATTATTGTTGCTTTCTAGTAAAAGCATGTGTATACCTAAGATGCAGATAGATCATCTCGTTGAGAAATTTGCTTTGTTGCAGACCCGCATCTAAAAGCGAGCTGAATCCAACAGAAGCATACAATTTACAAAAGAGATTGCAGTTTCAGCAACCGTATCAGTATCATGTTATGGATCTCTCCGTAATAAAGCCTCACAATACTTAATTGCGAACTGCAGCAAACAGCATTGAATTTCTCAACGTAGCTCTCCTTGTGTCCAACCTGTCAACAAAACAACACGATGAAACTACTTTTTTTGGTTATTGTTATACATCTGCCATCCGTTTAATCGCTTAACTTCAAATTGCACAAATGACAATCTATGCCTGAACCAAACACACTCACATCAGCGAAATATAGATATATATAGATATGGAGAACACCAGAGTTGAAAACATGCGACGCTCTAAAATGAAATAGAAAACTTCAGTAAGGCGGAAAAGAGAAGAGCTCACATAAAAAAAGATCAAAAATGATCAGAGATTTCAAGGAGAAATTGCATCGTCTTTCTTTATGTTGACAAATAGAAAAAAAAAGATCGTAAAAGGGGGCTTTTCAGAATCAGTAGTTTACTGTCTGCTTTCACAAAAATCAATCCACGATTCTGTTTTCATTGTTCGACTATGTTCTCACCCGCTGTTCATGAAGAGCAGAAAAAGCTCTCCGAAAAACAGCCCAGAAACTACATTTTTAAATCCGTTCTGTGGTAACGAATTCAGTTTAGAATAGTTACCTTCGATGCCTCGAGGGCCGAGAATTCCGGTGATCTCTACGTGACGGCGAGCTGTGGTGGTGGTGACGATGTGACTCATCTCGCGAAGAGTGACGCCTTTCGTAGCGTCGAATTGATGCCGGTGATCTCGATCGCTTCCTGTCGCTATACCGTCGTTCGCTCGGGAAGTATTTTTTTACCGATTGCTCCGCTCTAATTTGTAGTTTCGCAGGTGCGGCATTGACTGTGTTCATCACAACGGTGTTCATCGTCGGAGGCTTGCCCGGCGGTGGCGGTGGAATGGGTCCAGTCCGTCGTTTGATAACGCTAATTACTTTCTCGCCTGAGCAGAGCGTATATCCTTCTGCGGGAAGGGTAACGTAGCTCACTGTTTCCTCAGCTTGTGGAGCTGGTGTAGCTACTGTCGTCGGAATCGGAGAAGGCGTCAGTGGAGGAGGTAAATCTGTAGGGATTCCGACCAGTGCGAGCAGTTCTTCAGCAGAAGCTGGTGTGACCCCATCGGTTGGTGCAAGTGTAGGTGGCTCTACTTCCGGCGCAGCAAGTGCTTCTTCGAGAAGGTTACCGCTAATTTCAATTGATGGTTTTTCGTCAACAACAGGTGCTGCTTCCGTCTTATTTGTCTCACGATCAAATTGACCGAATTCGCTTTCGTCCCTAATAATTCGAAGAAATGGCTCGCTGTTGAGAAACGACTCCGACGACGGAGATGCGTTCTTTCTCATTCGTTCGGCCTCTTCCTGCTCCTCTTTCTTCTTTTGGGCTGCTTGCTCTTCCTCCAGAGCCTTCCTCATGCGCTCCTTTATTTCCTTCTGTCGTTGGAGCTCTGCTTCTTGCGTTCGTTGCGCAATTAACGCAGCTGCTTGCATAGCTTGTTTAAGTCGTCTGTTGTATCGAAGAAATATCGGATGGTCACCTGACAAAAAATTGAATCGTGGGGTCGTGCGCAACAGCTCATCAAAATTAATCGCCGATTCGCTTATTTCACCGCTAGCACGCATTTCCTCATCACGTAAAACGCGTGCTATGAGTTCTGATATTCCTGCTGTACTCTGTAGTTTGATTACGAGGTTAACGTTTTTGCGCGCCGCTTCGATAAACTGGTTTTCATTTTCGACGTAGTCGCCGTTAACGTCAAAAATCATGAAACCGACTGGAATATTTGCTGCCGCCGCCGCGGATCGAGGAGTGACACGAGTTACTTCGGCATCGTTGCCAAATGTAATGCCAAGCTGGTCTGCCGGCTGAGAAAGCACCTTCTTCTCTAACTTGCGTATCACTACCCCAGCGCTGTCTGGTGGGGCATTATTGTCTACCACACTAGCGCCACTTTTGAGTCTTTGTAAGAAGCTTGACATTCCAATACGCTACAAACTAGCGATATTAATAGATGTTATTAAGGACAGACAATTTCTTCGCGGTAAGTGGCGCGAAGAAACAGGTGAACGAAATCAACAGATACCTGATTTCAGCGACTTTGACATGAGAGTATATAAAAAAAAAAAACAGAGAATTTGGGCGGCACAGAAGAGTTGCGAGCTATTTTCTTACGGTGTTTTCGTCAGCAAAGATGATGAATACGCATTGTACAAAAATCGTAGTGCCATTCTTCAGATCATTATTATTCTTTTTAAGCCTCCTCACGTAGCAGATAAATCGGATAGTTTGCTTCGCATGTTATTCAGGCAACAACAACGCCGACGCAGCGTGGATATACCTGACATTTTTCTATTCGGCAAAAACGCTTTCGTTACTTCAACAGAGCACATTAGAAATCGCTTTCGCAAGCAAGAGGCGGGGCGGATCGACAGCTGCTTAGTCAGAAAACCTGTTGAGATTCTCTGCTTCGATTATTCGGAGTTTTGACGCGACTGCTCTTCTTTTAGCACATTTAACACACTCTCGAGTCTCATCGTACTTGAGCTGATAAGATACATCTGAAGTAGAGTTTCAGAACGAAACACTATTCGTCCACTTGCGGAGACTAATGCACTGTAGCACACATAAGCAAGCAGGCAGCAAATAGTGCGGCAACGGCACATTAGCGGAAAAGACTACTTGGAAAAAGAGCCTTTTCCCGATGCTGTACACGGGTGTGAAACGAAATCTTCGAC